AAGGTTAGAACAATAAAATTGTGGTCCCTAATTTTTTCCCGGTTAAATGACAACCCGACTGGGCTAAAACCTACAAATCACATTAGCGGTGGAAGGATCAAGTAGTTATTGGAAAATAATTGAATGTTCGTTGTTTAAAGTGCATAAATGTCATTAAGAATAAATAAAAGGATTAAACTCGATAATTCTTTAATACAGTTAAAACAAAAAGTGATGATAACAATAACTAAACTTAAAAAATGAAGCAAACGCTTTCATACTACATACATATTACAATCTATTCTCTATATGACCTCCACTCATTTCAAGACACATATCCAATCTTCGCCTGACTTCTTTGTGGACTTGCGTTTATTAACATTTCGCCGTTTAACTCATTACAAGCGTTTGTGATTTTTTCATTCAAATGATTAATATCTCGCGAAGGTGTTTTTTAAACCTTATATTTTAAAACTCCCTACAAAAAAAATCGAGGGGTGTTAGATCTGGTAGCTTTCCGGGCCACTGAATAGGTACATTAATTTATCATTTTTCTAGAAAAGTGTTATCCAAATATTGCTGCACAATCCTGGCCTTGTGGAGTGGAGCCCTGTCGTGCTGAAACCATAAGTTCTCCTTAGCTGTATAGGCACATTATCCAGAAGTGTAGAAAGTTCTTCATGTAGGTTTAGGTAACTCACGCTGTTCAATGTATGTTGCCCCAATTAAATGTCTACCGATGATGCCGCACCATACATTTACTCCAAAATAATTTTGGACTGGATTTACAATGTGGAGATTTTCAATGGGTCAGTAATGTTCGTTGCGCCTGTTTGGCAAACCATTACTGACAAACCGACTTTCGTTCGTCCAAAGAACGTGCCGAAAAAGGTTCTGATCAACAGTTTCTATTTGAGCTATAAAATTAAGTCTGTTTTCAATGCGACGCTCAGGCAAATACTCCAAATTGTAAATTTTGTAGTCATGATACCCATTGGTCTTTAAAATTCGTTGAACGGCTGATTTATCCAAATTCAATTCCCGGCTAGCTTGCCGTATAGAATTTCGTTGATTTTCTTCGAAACACTGTTAACAGTCTAGCTGTATTAACATAGTTTCTTACCCTTCGGTCAATTATTTGATTTTTCCGAACAAAAAATGCATCTTCATTTCGTCGCAAGGTCGCCTCCAATCTTGTAAAAGTTCTATGATCAGGAATGAGGCGCTCTGGATACCTTTCTCGATATAACTCTACAGCTCTTCTTGAATTTTTTTGTGACTCGCTGTAAATTAGCAATATATCAACTTTTTCTGAATGAGAAAACATTTTGTAAGCACAAAAATTATACGTTTGACGTTCGTATTGAGTAATGACAAGTATTTTGTGACATTATGCAATTTAAACAACGAACATTCAATTATTTTCTAGAAGAAGTAAAAAATAAGTAGTAGCTATCTAAGATTTTTTAGCTGTGGGTGTGGGTAAACCATAATCTAAAATTTAAATGAAAACAAGAGAAGCCCAAAGATAATTTAATAATATGAATCCAGAAAGAGTCAATGCGAATTCTCTGTACTCAATGAAATAAGTAGATAATATTAGATAAAATCAACAGAATTTATCAAACGATTCACTCAAATAATACAGATCGCTCTGTTGCGAAAAAATTTTTTGTATTGTTGGTATCTTCTAGGATTAAAAACATAGCTAGTTTAGTAGTTTATGACATCAAAAATATGTGTACTATTTCAATATAAATCCGTAGCATTTAATTATTTCTCTCTAGTTTTCGTTAACTTGAAGGGATTAGGGAAAAATAGTATGATGGAGTCCGTATTTTTCAGAGAACAAAATATGCAAACCTCTACACTCACTGTCAGTTACTATAAAGTATTATAAAATTTCAGAGCAATGAACTCAAAGTGGTACAATATTTATCTCTTTAGAATTTGGTGACTATTTAATGTTCACATTTCGTTTTTTATACTCTGCTAAAAATCAAAAATACATTAACAAAAGGATGTACCTAGAATAGGATTCTGATGCAAAAGTTAGAAGCGTATTTCTCGAAAAATAAATAAAAAGGAATATTCTTTAGAAATTTTGAGGATTTCCTTAATTACATAAACATTACAATTTTTATTTCACATTCAAGATCAAATTATTGTAAATAAAGATACGTCGAACTTTTTACATTACTGTATACAGGGTGTAGCCAAATTACAGCAAACTTTATTCTTCCTAAAACGACGCCTAAGTATTCCAAATTTTTAATATAGACTTCATTTGGTAATGAGATTTAACTTTCAAAAAAGGTTATTGGAAGCAAAATATAAATATTTTTCTGTCATTGGATTAGTCAGAAAAATTTATAAACCTTATTTTAATTTAAACTCATTTCTACCTCTTTTAATAACGCAGGTACAAATGTTATCTAACACGACATAATAAAGATTTGCCACTGATACGTTCATAACAGTTTTGTTTTTCTTTAACCAAGGAAATGGCAGTAACATTTACTTCCTTCTTCATTAAGCATTTCTGGACAACAACTCTCGACGAGTTGGAAAAATTTACCGATTCCAAACTGAATTATGGACGGACTAAATAATTTATCGAAAATAGTAGGTAACCAGCTTGTGTAAAACGAACTTTTTAATAATTTTTTTAAATAGCGTAAAATAGTTTATATTTAAATTATTAATAATGCTTAATCTATATTTTCGTAAATTGATATATTTAAATGAGAGTTCAAATATTTCAGTAAAGTGCTATTGAAGAAAACATTTTATTTTTAAATGATAAAGTCGTACAATGGACAAAAAGTACGGCGCTTATGCACAGGTATTAACATAATTTGAGACAGTTTCAGTTTGTGCTTAATATAACAAAAATATTCCAAACGCCTCATACGGTGGTAGCTGAACGATGATCCAGGTGGTAATCCATTGCCTGCTGATAAGTGTCCTGATTTTCAGTGGACCACACTGTATAGGTATATTTTGAATTTAAGTTAGAAATGTTAAAGAAACTGATCCAAGTGGTGATTTTTAAGAAAAAGGTGAAAACAGATTTTTATTTAAATCGAACCAAAATATTTCAAATACCTAATTCTTCACTTAAAATTAGACGAAACATATGTCCTAAAACAACTTTTTATTAACTTTATCTTAACTTAATTCGTTCAAGGTAATCCTAATTTCAATTTCCTGAATATGCTGATGTCCATTAGTCGACTTTTCTACGATTTTTCAGCCGGTATTTTTCAGTGACTCAAAATACATAAAATATAGATAGCTCAGTGCGGTCTCCAGGTCAGTCATTTTTTTTTTTATTTTGTGAGCCTGTGTTATTTATAAGTCAAGAGTTATAGGATAGGCAACCCACAACACGCGATTTGAATAGGTAGTTTATTTCGCATGGTCCTTTTCTGAACGGTCTGGCACAATTATGTAGTCAAATAATTACAAACGTACGTCATAGGTATACGTGTACATATGTATATTCATGATATACAGGGTGAAACAGAACTTATCCAAAAAAAAATTCTGGATGTACAGGGGACCCTTACAAATACAATTTTGTAAAGATAAAATCAAAAAGGGCAGTTCGAAAATGATTTAAAAATACACTTCTGCACGGCACTGGAAACTGGTCCACTGTAAAACCTGACCCAGCACAATGCGACCGGCATGGCGGTGTGATAAAAACGGACAAAAACTTTCGCAAGGAAAGAAATATGTAAATAGAATTTTATCGCACCTATTTTATATCGGCAAATTCAACTGCTTTTGCCTTTATTAATTAATAAAATTAATTTGTGTTTTTAAATAATAAAATCATTTGACATACCCGATGTTACAACAACTGTTCAATATTTTATCCACCAATGTGTAAACACATTTGGGTTCGTTGTACACAGTTTCTACGAACTAACACAAATGTTGTCTTGTTTCACCATAACACAAATGCTTCACCGTAAATTATCCATCAACTCCGAGTACACGCAAACCATTTTTAACACTAACTACCCATTTTTGACACTAACTACTAAAACACCACAGATAACAGGTAAATATCGCAACGACGATTGCAAAATCCGAATTCAGTATTCGGAGTCGCTGAGGCCACGTGGCGAATGACGCTAGAGACTACAGTTCCAGCTAGTCCAGCTATGTAGTGGTTGAATGTACTATAACTTCAATAGTTTTTTCTCGGAAACTAAGGATTTTACAAAATTTTTTTTTACAATATTGATTCCATTTCTCATGCTGCATCTATTCCCAAATTTTTTGGATAAGTTGCGAATCACCCTGTATACTTGCCTACTTAAAGACGAAAAATTTTTTTTTAAAAGTAAATCTAGGTACCTTTCAAGAAATTCATTTCAAATGTTATAACATAAAGTAACAAGTAATTTCAGTTTGAATGGTGTAAGAATTTTATATATGCCTTATATTAATTTAGGAGGACATAAAATATCTTGATAAATAATTATTTTTATTTTAGTAATATAGATTATAAAATTAAATGGAAACCGACGTTTCAAGAGACGGAATATTTTGGAATTCCAGAAAAATATTAGCTAAACAAATAAATAAAGTCTTTTAACGTACCATGGCTTTTCGGGTTCCTATGCCGTGGCCTGTGGTTATAGAATTACATCTCACAGCCTTAGCAGTAACTAGGAATCTTTTACCTGCCCTACTTGTTCTTAGGCTAGACTCTGTGAAGTCCGCAGAATCCTTAGGCTTGCCCTGATGTTGCTTTTAGTTATTATTTCCAATTCGAAGGCCAAGAACGCTCCTCAGAACAATAATGACTGTCTAAGCAGCTTCGTAGTGGCCCCTGTAACTGCAACCTGAAAATAATAAGGGCAAGTGCAAGGTTTCCTAGCTAAAGCTAAGTAAGTGCGATGTAAGTCTGTAGCTAGCAGTATGCCGAAATAACCTGAAGAATCATGGCACTTTAAATGTCAGCACGGGTTGTAAATGCCATAAAACAGCTAATAAATAATGTTTTATTAAAAAAAAACAATAAATATTATTATAATAGTCTTATTTGCTCTCTCATATCCTGAATCGATTAAAGAATAGCCACATCGGAACATGAACGGAAGGTTTCTTGAGGCCCGCATGCAAGTTGGGACTTACCATCATCACAGACTCCCCAATTATTACCTAAAAAACAATTATTATCGGTTTATTAGATTTATACCCTCACTAATACAAAATATAAGACATCATAATTTTAATCCTGGAACTAATCCGTATAAATAAGAAATTAAATAAAAACGATGCTCCAAAAGACGGAATATTTTGGAATAATTGTTAAAGATCCAAAACTGTATTCAATGAATAAAAAAAATAAATGTTTTAAAAAAAGCCTTATTGGCACTCTCTGGCTCCTTAATATCTCTATAATAAATTAATATAATTTCTTAAATTAGATGAAGTATATTAAGAGAACATTTTACCAAATATGTTATCGTCGAAATTGCAAAATACACAATTTTTTTAAAGATACCAACTGCGCAAAATTTCAATTTAATTTGAAAATAAAATGGGACACGACCCTATTACGTTTTAGGCAAAAAGGCCTTACCTCATCTAAAAGGGGAGAGAAAAATAGATAAAAAAAATAATCGCTAACAGAAATAAGTATAGAAATGTCGTTCCATTTAACCAATTGGAAATTAGTGAGTTAATTGAGAAATGAATTTTCTGCGAATGTAACTAACAACTTTTTTAATAACATCTGATTGAGTCACCAGAAGAAGTTCTTTACAACTGATCTTTGTTCTCAATCAGAACTTTTCCACACACATAGAATTTTTTATGGGCTTGCTCGAGAAAGAATCAAACACTTTAAATAATCTGCTAATATATGACCGTCCATTGAATTTGAATACTTTGATTCGACGATATTTTTATTGTGAACTAAACTGTCATGTCCATCCTTTAAAATATAATATTTAAAATAGTTGACCTCTTATTTCAGTAGCTAATATAGTTATAAAAAATCAGCGAAGATCCTTAAATGAAATCCTCAAATACCTGTTCTGTAGTGCCAACGCAGCACGCATCTCTCACATGTAATGCCAGATGGAAGTTGCACCCTATTGGCAATATCGAATTCCTCTTTAGTCACGTTATAGTATGTAGAACCGTCTTCCAATACCAACGGCATGAAGCAGTCCTCGCCAGATTCAGGTCCATCGGGGTCTTCCAGTACGCACAGGCTGAAATTAGAAATAGCCAAATGACATGTAATTTAGCAAGGATCTTAAAAATTGGTTCAATAAGGAAAAGAAATATAAATAAACCATAAAGTTAAGTAAATTTGAAATAAACAAACTCACCTATAAGTGAAAGTACCAATATGATTCGCTGTCAATTTTATTTGAACATCTATAACACTTTCAGGTTCATATATCGCTACTATTATTCCTTCCCCATATTTGCCAGTATTTTCATTGTCTTGTGGATGAGGATCTGTGTACGCATCTCCACATACCCCACATTTACCTCCATTTTCTGTTTGTTTCTGTAAATACACAATACAATGTAGGTTATGAAAATGTAACTACCACTATTAACGGTTAAATTGCATTAGACTTTTCCAAAAATTTGCATATTTCATTTTCATCCCACATCATTATCCCAAATACTTATTGAAATGTAACAATTTTCTATGACTAGTTAATGTTCGTTCAGAAGAAGAAACTTTGTATGAACCTAAATGTTCTCTAGTTAGCCACCACACCTTATTCTCCAGTGCATTAGAATAGGTACCTACGTTTTACAGCAGATGAAGTTCATCTGCTGTAAAACGTAAGTAATGTTATTTTCTCAAGATAAAGAAAAATCTAACAAGAAAATGTAGATAAATATACAAACAGATCAGTATTTGAAGTGAAGAGTTGTGTATGTGCTCTGTTCTCTCAAGAAAAAATTAACGCAGAAAATTTGACAAAGTAATATCACCTTACAGCTAAGCTATCGTAATAGTTATGATTATCGTCATAATCTGGAATACTACCAAATACGTTAAAGCATCACATGGAACTCCTGTTTGGAGATTCCAATATCGTTCAATGGCCAACTTCTTCAGCTACGAAAACGAAGATAAAATTGAATTTCATTTTATTCCAAGTGAAGGTTTGTGGCATTTTTAATGTCTACCTTTGTAGCTCAGCTCTGGGATTCTTATATATTATATAGTTATTAATAAGATTTTGTAAATTAATTACTTCAAACAATTTATCCTCATAAGATGTTTATTAATTAAAATTTGTATGTGTAATTAAGATAAATATATATTCATCACCATTTATACGGGGATGGCCAGAAGTACGGAATAAAATTCATATCTTTTTAATGAGTTAATTTTTTAACACGCCGAAACACGTTAACTGATTTTGATTTTTTCCCATCTTTCGGTTATATAATAATTAATTTTTCTTCAACCCCCTAACCCCCAGCTACCCCTACTTTTTTTTTCAAATGGAAACATAAGGCATGAGGGTGCTCGTTGAAAAGCTTATAGAAAACCGAATCCAGCCATACCAAATAAACAAGTTTTATTTTTTCAATAACAAGTTTTTTTTTCATTTAGAAATTGAAACAACTAGATAATTTACAAAAATAAACTCAATGTCGCAAATGCTGAAAATGTCCTCCATTTACTATTTGGTATTCTCCAAGACGATAGTAAAAGCTGTCCACAGCATTCTGAATGACTTCAGCTGGTAAAATATGCATCTTCGCCCTAATCTTCTTTAAATTCTCAATATTATCCGGTCCGTCCTGGTAGACTCTTTCTTTCAAATATCCCCAAAAAAAATAATCCAGGAGTGTTAAGTCGGGGAATCTTGACGGCCATGCAACTGCACCCCGTCTACCAATCCAGTGATTTGGAAACATTTGTAAGTTACTGTCAATTATTAGTCTAAGAGCGTGATTCTATTTTAAAACGTCGTAAATCAGATGGAAAGACAACTTGGATACTTCATCAGGTATAAAAATATTTACTTAATACATATGTTATATTTAAAAAGGAAATGTAATTTAATTTATTTACTGATGTCAGTATGTTCAAAATTCGATACTATTATTTATTTCCATGGCTAACTTTTGTAAAAAAATTTATCGTATAATCCTGACAGAATTTGATAATTATCGACAAGTAGATCGAGATCAGATTTAAAAACTAATATAAACACTTGTGGTTAATCTTCAAGGAAACATTTTTTATGGATTATCTTGTCATTAGTCATTTTTCTATGAGGGATTTCTATTTTTAACAAATATACTCACGTATATATGATAACAAATTTAAAAAAAAATAATTGTGAACTAGTTTCAAAATTAGACCACGTCACCAACACCAACTAAGTTATAGTTCGCTAAATGTAGTGCCAAAAAAGTACATATATCACATTCTGAATATGTAAAAAATGAGATACAGGATATTATTTTTTATGAATTTGGAATTTGGAAGCTAAACCACTTAGGCCCCATTGAGCCCCTTTATACTTCTCCCAATAGGAGATCAATGCATCTGAGCAGTTAACCAACTTATTAAACAGAAAAAGTGGCCATAGAAGGTCAACGTTCTCCCAACACGGATTCTCTTGTTGACGAGGCTACAGTGCATCATAGCAGTAACATAGCACATGTATTACTGTCTTGTCTTTCTGTTCACGACCCCTACAAAGAGGTGTTCCACACTTCCTCATGTAGTGAAGGTGTTTCCTTAGCCAATAGTGTCTAGTTCGAATATCTGTCAACAGGCAAATATTTGACATAGACATAGACAGGTATTTTTTGGCTATATAGGGTATTCTAGGAACTCCTTAGCAAATTGGCAGCTATTTGTTTCATCCCACCGTTTCATAAATAATTCTTTGTGGGTGTTTTCCTTAATAATCTCAACAAATATTGACAACGGAAGCACACTCTGAACCTATATTTTTACATATTTATCTATTTTTTTTAATACAGGTTTCTAAAGGATTTTTGTCTGATGATCTCTGAGAAATTTTGATACATATGAAAATTGGAAAAAAGATTATAAGAACATAGGTCCTAAATTGCTTCCTAAGGATACTACGGCCATTCTAAGGATATTATACAGGGTGGGCCTCCAGTAACGCCTCGGTCGCTAGTGACCAAACGGCAAATGTTACAGAAACCTGTTTAGGTGGGTATGTGTGTGTATTACGGCTACATTTTAAAAATATTTTGAAATATACAGGGTGTCCAGGAAAGGCGTAATAATTTTAAGGAAGCAGCTTTGGATGGTCTATATTAGATCCTTGAAGTTATAAATTGTTATATTTGTCGTCACTCAGTATTATACAGGGTGTTCAAAAAACTACTGAATACTTCTCTCAACTTTAAACAGCAATAACTTGGTTATTTTAAATGGAACACCCAGTATATTTTTACTTTGAGAGTTAGGAAATTTAAAACTCTTTCAAACTGTATATAGGTTTCCTATACCTATCTCCAACGGTATTGGAGATATTTGTGCCGTTTCGTTTTTTATCGATTTTTTTTGTAAGATGTATCCACGTGTCTCTATCGAGGTCTTTACTGAATTGGTTTGGGTTCTTCTTGATGACGTCTCTGTAAATATAAGGAGAAAAATGTGAATGCAAATACATGGCACACCTGCACATTTTTCATATTCAGTGAGAAATTATATAAATCGATAATTAAGTAATAAATGAGTAGGTAAGAATGGTTCATGTCAGTGGCTACCACAGGTGTCCAAACCTCTCGTAATGGACTTCTTTGTTTCGGGCTGTATAAAAATATATCTTGTACACAGTGTTCCACCTACTACTTGCGATGATATGAAGGAAAGGATTAGATATGCATTTGCCACAATCACCCCAAATATTCTAAGGAATGTGAGAATATCATTTGAAGATAGAATAAGATGCTGTATTCAAGAGAATGGTTATCAATTCGAACATCTATTAAAATTTTTCTTTGTTTCTTCTAAAAGTAAAATTTTCTTTAATAAATATTTTTCATGTTCATAAATAATTCAGTTACTTACTACAAACATATTTATACAAAATTAATAACTTTTTATAATTATTCGGCTTATAAAATAATATTTTTTATTAGAAAACTTTTTTGAATATTTTCATGATAATGATAAAAGGAACTTTTACTTTTAGAAAAAACAAAGAAAAATTTTAATTGATGTTCGAATTGATAACCATTCTCCTGAATACAGCATCTTATTCTATCTTCAAATGATATTCTCACGCAAATGCATCTCTAATCCTTCCCTCCAATATCATCGCAAGTAATAGGTGGAACATTGTATACAAGATTTTTTATATAGCTCGCAACAAAGAAGTCCATTACGGTGAGGTCTGGACACCTACGTGGCCACTGACATGCACCATTCCTACTTATCCATTTATTACTAAATTTTCGATATAAATAATTTCTCACTGAATATGAAAAATTTGCAGGTGCGCCATCTAATTGCATCCTCATTTTTCTCAATATATTTAAAGAGACGTCATCAAGAAGAACCCAAACCAATTCAGTAAAGACCTCGATAAAGACACGTGGATACATCTTACAAAAAAAATCGATAAAAAACGAAACGGCACAAATATCTCCAATACCGTTAGAGATAGGTATAGGGAACCTATACACAGTTTGAAAGAGTTTTAAATTTCCCAACTCCCAAAGTAAAAATATACTGGGTGTTCCATTTAAAATAACCAAGTTATTGCTGTTTAAAGTTGAGAGAAGTATTCAGCAGTTTTTTGAACACCCTGTATAATACTAAGTGACGACAAATATAACAATTTATAACTTCAAGGATCTAAAATAGACCCTCCAAAGCTGCTTCCTTAAAATTATTTTTTTATTGCTAATATTAAATTTCTACGCTATGCCTGCATTTTCACTAAAATTGAAATATCTCACAAACTGTAAGTCCTAGGTATGCAGAACCTTTAATAAAGTTCACCTATTTTTTTACGGTGCTTCCAAAATGCAGTAAAATACAGGGTGTTCCATTTAAGAATACATAACTTTGATATGGTACACTTTTCCTGGACACCCCGTATATTTCAAAATATTTTTAAAATGTAGCCGTAAACAACCTACACATACCCACCTAAACAGGTTTCTGTAAGATTTGCCGTTTGGTCCCTAGCGACCGAGGCGTTACTGGAGGCCCACCCTGTATAATATCCTTAGAATGGCCGTAGTATCCTTAGGAAGCAATTTAGGACCGACGAAATTATGGTATATCATATACATTGAATAACTAAAATCTGTAAATTCATTGTAAGTGTTCATTATTTAAATAGATCTAATTCCATATTTTCTGTAAAACAACGAGGAGTACGTTAATTCAGTAGTAATCCCCGTTGTGTCGTTATTTAATAATTAAAAAATTTAATTAAGTTTCAAATTTTCTTAATATTTGTCCTAACGTTTAAAGTTTTCTGCAAAGTGTGAGAATACAAGGTACTAAATAATGAAAAAATACTTACTGTTAAACCGCCACAGTAATTTTGATTGTCGTCGTAGTTAAATTTGTCGGACAAATTGAACCTCCATAGTGAACTCCTGTTTGGGGGCTCTAACATCATTCCATGTTCCATAGTTTCTATAATCAGATACGCTGCAACAACGAAAACAAAGATTTTATACATATTGTTCTTATTTTGGTAGATTTCACGATTTTACTTGGTTGGGGTAGAGTTGTCTCCGTTTTTATAAACAAAACACATGATAAGATTAGTTTTCTGGTTGCGAGATTTTTCTTAGTAATTGCTCCAATATCAGATAAAGCGCCTATGTTTGTATTTATGTGTCAGTTTACCTGCTTAATCCTTTGTTGTTTCTCTTTTATAAATATTTAAAAATTCCCAAAAGATATAATATCGTTTGGTTATACCAAAATATCCCTTGAAGTAGGTTATAAATTAATGTTTACGTCTCTTAATCTTCCGAATTTTTTAATCCTTTGCCTGCCTCTGTAACTTGGGCTTATAATGATTTACGAAAATAAATTACACAATTAAAGATTAAGCTATTGCCAAATAACTGTCATCGTATACCTACATGTACGACACATAATAGAGTACAATTTTTTCCTGACAATACTGCTAAAGGCTCTATAATTCTTCAAGAATGGCGTAGGTATAAACCGTATTTTCTATCCGTTAGTCAATTTATTGCAATATTATAGTTTTCTTTACATAAATGAATTTGGGAACAACTTGATTACAAAAACAGATATCGAACCCCTTTTAGCGTTATATGCTCTAACCTAAAAAAAGTTTTATTCTGCTATTTCCCTTTTTTAAGAAAACGTGAAACAACCTACACTTGAATAAACAGCGCTAATAAATAACCAAATAGGCTATACCATTTAAACAACACTTTCGTTAGAAATTCCAATCTTATCTTATATTCATCAATTTCTTGTACTGAATTCATTTATGTAAAGAAAACTATAGCATTGCATTTAAAATTTTTGAGAAAAATCCATAAAACGACATTCTTTTGAAATAACGCCATCTATAGGTTTCCATATTGAGGTAAATGAAATTACCCATCAACCACGAGATAAAGCATGAAAAGACCTTTCCAACGAGGTGCAACACTATGGGCTTTTGATGAGCCAATCCTTAAAAAAAATACATTTTTCTGATCAGACATTAGAAGCTTCCCCCACGCTTTCTGTCGAAGGACAGAACAAAATGTCAATAACAAAAGTTATGAGCAATTAATTCGGCTATTTAATATACCTGAAAGGAAACATTTCTGAGAAAAATTCAACTTTGTGTTGATATGTAGATTACGCCCCATAGCGGCTGAGCTACGAACTATTTCCAGCGATTTCTCTTGATCGATTTATTCAAAGAAATTTTTTCCCGAAGCTCTAGGACCTATACTTTCCCTAATATCGTACCTCGCGGTCCTTAGTGGGACACCTTGAATAATATATTTTCTATCCACATTGGAGCTAAATTGAAGATTACAGAGGTCTGAAAACCACACAAATATTGACAATACCCAAAGCAGTTTGCAAATCATTTTCATTAATCAATAACTAGGTACTGTAGATTTATCGTATTGTTTGTATTCTCTAAGGGATTTGTTGCTAGTACCATGTTAAAATGCTCTTACCAAATAGTCGAATAAATAAAATGTGTCACAAACTCAAATTACGAACCATCACCACCCGTCCTATACACGACACAAGTGAGTGATCCAAGCTTATTTAATACGCCAAAATTTGTAATTCTGCAATTATTGAAGCCTCAAGCCACGACTTTATATTTAATGGGTTTTTCTTTGGATACAAGCACAGACAATATAGAGTGGTGATAGCTATTTTGTTTGTAATACAAGCTTGCAAGTGTGTCTATCTACAATCATAGTTGAAATTCTAAAGGTAAACGGGTCAAGATAATGAGAACTAATACAGTAGTTTTGAGTTATTCTTACTATATGGAGGATTTTTTTCCGTCTTTTTTTTACCTATATATTTTTGAACATTCAACAACGATACGTCATCAAATTTTCATCTCATCTACCTTGATATTGATGTTCCGTGTCATGTCCTGGTGAAATATTTCTCCTTAGAGTTACTAAAAATCCGTAAAATTCTTAGAGAAGTAATCTACTTACGAATGTATGAAGTCAATTTTCTCATTAGAACTCATTAGAACATAATGTATAAAAAATGGTATACATATAAAAAACAGGTTTGACGAGTTTGATAATGCACTTCATGTACTATATAGAGTAATTCCTTGAAAATTTTACTACTTTTTCTACAACGAAGAACAAAGAGAAGTTCCATCAAAACATAAAAGAAATGGAGCGCTGGTAGTATCAAGGTAGATGGAAAACTAAAAACCATGGTATATTGATTTACTGCAACTTTTAGGTGTAGTTTTATAACTGAACCGATTTCCTCGACACAACTCTATTCAGAAACTTATATATCATGACTGCAAATCGATTACTTTAAAGAGAAACCCATTAGCAAATTTTGATGCGTATTGTAGATTTATGGTTTGAGTTGTAACTTGATCATCCAATTTTTAGATTTTAGGGTTAGTTTTACAAGTGTTAATTGAGCATTTGAATACCCAAAATATGCATCGGCTCATTTCTAGAACCGAGATCGAAGAGAAATTTACTGAATATAGAGTATTGGCTGTTAACATTTATATAAGGGGTGGTCTTTGACAATTTGAAAGATCTGATGAAGAATGGAATGGGAGATCCGGTTAGATTTAGGGTCTAAATACATAGGGCAGCATTAGTATCATCTACAGAACAGGTAACTTTTGTGTGGCTGTGTCATTAGGAAGATAAGCGAAAACTGAACAACAAGAAAAGCAAATGACACGCATTACCCATTACTCAGGATAAAAATTCTTTATTCTTAACCAAGAAATCATTTGCCTATCAATTCTTCCAGCTGTTCATAAATTATCGATGACTTTTATTTCAAATCTGGCAGGAATAGCAAAGAAGCAAAGAATAATCTTCTTCAGATAAATTATGTTGCATAAAGTTTTGAAGTATTTAGTGGTAGCAAATGTGATGATACTGTTCGGGGAAGACCGATATCGCGAAGTATCAGTTTGAAATAACTTTGAGATTATCATAATCCGGATTGTAATCATTATCCGGAAAACCCCATTATAAATTCCTGCGGTATGTGATTATCTCAATTGTCCCTAATAATTTATCATCAGTGTTTCCTGTACATGTTTTTTGATGAGTATATAAAAAATCTGGCTAGGAACCAAGTAACCGACTAAATTGAAAATTAGAAAAAAAAAATAGAATGCAAATAGTCTTAATTATATTATAATATAAAAGACTAATTACTCAACAAATGAGATCTAGTGCAAAACATATTTTTTGACGTGATAAAATATCTGAGAGTAGTTTTTTAACCCACGTGATAAAAATTTACACTGAAGGACCCAAAATACAGTCATTAAGTGTCACTAACAAATCACTAACTCTGTAAAGTGCATTTCATCTGATAAGGGACATTTTTTCAGCTACCAAATAATATTACAATTCTATATTTATTTATTTGAAAATACACTGTTCTGCAGGTTAACACCCAATTACAGAACAGGAGAGTGCAGATGGGAAATAATATAACACACACACTATGTTGAAAAAAAACAGTAGTGAAACAAAAAAGTCAATCTAACAGAAAGTAATAAAGTTAATGTTTAAAATATGATTTAAGAATATTAAGGATGCAATTAAAAATGTTGCTGCAATAATTATTGTGAATTCTACACATAAAATGTAAAGAAAGAATTTTGCAACAATTTTGTTCGCGCTTTCTCCAGATGAAGTGTAAATTTTCAAGACAATTGGAAACAATTTTATAAAGAAAAATCTGGGAAAAATATTCACTTATAACACTAACAATAAGTGAAGAAATAGAAAATGAGCCAAGAAGACTACACTGACGAAACATCACGGGTGGATAAGCTCCTTGAACTATTTGAAGGATATTTATATGAATATCATAGACAATACAAATAAATACAATACAATACATACAAATAAACAAATGATACATTTTCAAGTAAAGAATTTTCAATGTGCTCGTATGTTAAAAATACAAATACTTAGTCATAATGATTAAATAATTGGTGATTGTAATGTCGAATAAAGTTAATTCACTTCTTCAAACTCGTTTTCAAATACATATACCTATTATCCACTTTTCCACTATACAATAAATCCATAAAAATTGAGGCAGTTATTTTATTTAATAGGGTTTTTAGTCATTTATCTAATAACCTCAAATATTCTTAAATATTTTAATTTATATCTCTTTTCAGCATGGCAAAATAACTATATAATTAGAAAAAATACTAAAAAAATGAAAAAATTTAAGTTAATAATTACAAACAGTTAATGTACCTCCTACACAACTGAAAAATAATAAAGGAACAGTAAAAACAATAGCTTGCTTTCTAGGAAATTTCAGAAAAATTTGTAATAATCAAGTAATAATCTGGAAAAAATGGTGGTTCACGCCGATTTTCAATTTTATGATTTGAATGGTAAGAAGTAGGTACATATGTCTTTCTCTATTTAAGGATGTTTTTACCCCCAACAACTATAAAACAATTTTTCAAATAAATGTATTGAAAGTCAAGATATTCAATAAAAACTGTAGTTTTACGGAATGTTATAATTTATTCAACTCAACAAAATCAACAAATAACAAATCAAAAATTATTTAATTTTTCATCAGCTTCTTGACGAAAGACCTAGCGGTTCCCAAATTCATTGAGAATAATATTACGAATAACATATTAGACTCTTAATATGCCGATTGGAACAATGTTTTACCTTAAATAAGATAAAAGGTCCTTCCAAAATGTTAAAACAATTATATCTACTGCTACCTAATAGTACTTTTTTTTTATTCCGCCTCCAATTGCGGTAAATAAGAGCGATATATATTGGAAAATTGATTTTTAAAAATAAAAATCGACTTGTGAGAGTGAGAATTTTTTCAAAAACTGAATATGCAAGTTTAAACAATTTTATTCTTTATTTTACACTCGTACTATACAGGGTGTATTTAAATGGAGGGGCACAAATGATACCAGAGATTCCTTGGGTGAAAATAAGTCGATTTAACCTAACATACCTATATCCTAAGTCGCATAATAAAAAAGATACAGGGTGTCAAAGTGAAAAATAAAAAATGGTTTTTCCTTAATAATTTCTATAATTTTAGTCAGAAATGTTTCAAATTTTCAACTGAGAGATTTTTTAATGATGGGAAAAATAATATAATAATGATTTTTGATTGTCGAATACGAGGCGCCCTCTGCTTGCAACGTTATGCATTAAATACGTAGTAACTTTTTTGCCAATCCCCGTATACAGCTTTTAGTAATAAAATATGAAATATTGGACTTTTTTAACCAAAAAAAGGTATACTTATTGAAAATGCCAACTGTTGAGGAGATATTTTTAATTTCATAAATTAGTGTTATGGATTTATACCTCTACGAATACCAAGGTTCGAGTTGCTTAAATAAATAAAAAAATCGAGTAGATCAATGTCAGTCGATAATACTCATAAATTGCAATTTTGAAGTATTTGTTTAAAGTGTTAATTGATTTTAGTCACTATTTACCTGCATCCTAGATATTAAATAGTTTTGGACTTGAATAAAATAACAAATTATGTATACTAATGATGAGTCGTGTTCCTGCTAGAAAAACTTTTGAGGCGAAAATATCTCCTCAACAGTTGGCATTAGTATCTATACCTTTTTTTGGTTAAAAAAGTCCAATATTTCATATTTTATTACTAAAAGCTGTATACGGGGATTGGCAAAAAAGTTACTACATATTTAATGCAAAACGTTGCCTGCAGAGGGCGCCTCGTACTCATTATTATATTATTTTTATCATCATTAAAAAACCTCTCTGTTGAAAATTTGAAACATTTCTGACTAAAATTATAGAAATTATTAAGGAAAAGCCATTTTTTAAATTTCACTTTGACACCCCGTATCTTTTTTATTATGCGACTTGGGATATAGGTATGTTAGGTTAAATCGACTTATTTTCACCGAAGAAATCTTTGGTATTATTTGTGCTCCTCCATTTAAATACACCCTGTAGATAGACGTGAGAATGAATCATTTAGATAATAAAATTTGTTAAAAAGATCTTTTATGGAAGTTAACACATATATTTTTAGTATTGGAACAGTCGCAAATTGATACACTGATTTCTTTCTTTGTAATTCTAGATTTTAAAAAAAGTAGAGTTAAATTGTTGTCTGAGAGTATTTTGTTTATAGCGTTTCTTAGGTAGTTTCATTTTGGCTACTTTTACATACGTACTACAAATTAAAAAAACAGCCCCTGAAGATTCTTATGGTCTTATTTTACTATCAATCTTAATGTTTTGATATTAAGCGTGTGTTCGTTTTGTCTCGGGATTTGAAGTCATTCCTCCTCCTCCTCTAATTTATTTTGTTTGACTTAAGACGTACTTTGGATACTTGCACTTAGTTTTAATAAAGATTTTGTATGGTTTAAATGTTTTGCGTAACGGATTTTCAATTGAACCCTTTATATCACTGGCGGGTCTGCTACCCTAGTGTCAGAAAATCACTGCTAAAAGCATTTGGGATTGATTGTGTATGGCCTCTTTAAAGCGCCAGTACAACAAACTTTAAAAGCTTGTTTTGCATTGTCAGCGTGATGGCTATGTATGAGAACGTAGCGCCCGGTTTGGTAATGTTTTTGGAGAATTATATTTTAACTCGAGACGCAGTTTAAAATTTATGAGCTTTATTGATTTAAGTATATCATGATACGAAGTATGCAATGCGGTGGTTTCTATACAATAGAAATCCTTTGGATTGGGTCAAGTACAAACTCTGGCCAGGCAACTATGCTCTGGTTAATAAACTGCGGGAAACCTGGGTTGGTGTTCGCTCACAGGCTGGGTCGATTCCGTTAGGCGGCCTAATGTAGGGTCTGGTTTAGTTCCAGTATTTTTCGAACCAGAAAAACTCCGTCCTCGACGAATACGGCTGTCTCTGTGGGTTGAAGGTCTGAAACTAATTAGTGTTAATACCTACCCTAAGGTCCTTTAGGGGTGCGAATTTGAAGTCCTCTGGATGTTGTTTCGCCACTTCTTGGAAAGTGGGGTGAAAAATTTAGCCGCTCCTGGCTCCTGTCAGTGACTCGGTTAAAGAGCGGCACACGTTGTCATCGTCGTTCGAAGGAACGGAGGACTCTTGGCGGCGATCTTCTCATCTGGGTGGCTCAGCGGTGAATTTTTTTAAAACATCGGTGAAAACTTTAAAAACATCGGTGATTTTTTATTTGATTCCTATTTTGCGGGGGGAACTGCGTTATATGGTTCTCTTTTGTAGAAATACTGCGGCTATTCAAAACATTTGCGAATCTTGAAGTGTATGAAGTATACGACACTATCAACTAAAAGGTTATTTATAAAAATTTTCCAGTACCAAAATAAATAATAACATATAAGAAAATTATGTTATGTAACATATGACATTATACAATATATTAAATTAAAACTACTGTAGTAGCCTCAAATTCTTTAAGTCTACCCATGTGCTCAACTTTTAATATGATTTATTTATTATAACAACCGCACTAGGTATCTATAATTTACAAAAAACGAAATTTATTTCTGTCAAGGTGGTCTCACATTTTCATTTTTCCCATTTCCTTTTCCCCTTTTTATACATATAAGGCTACTTTTTCCAAAAATTAATTAAGTAATTTTTGTTTCTATATTTCCCCATTATTTTTAGGTGAAGTATATAAATTATTTGCAGTCAATTTTAACTGTTAGTAAGAGACTAATTTTTAGTTAAAATTAATCCATACTTTAAGTATGGATAAAGTGGTAATAATGACATTATTGGCGTTTGCTGATGTGTTGTGTTTTATTGAAGTTAGCTTAGAATCTGTGTTTATCATTTATAAAAGGCTGAAATACTGTTCATGGAAGTGAATAATTTGTATAATTTTAATAATTTGGAAATTAATGATAATGATGACTTAGAAGTATTGAATATAATACAATTGGGCATTCCTCGTCGATTATACCAAAGAGCCAGTTATTTCCATACAATGGATGACATCACATTTAGAAAACGTTTTAGGCTTTCAAAAGAAGCCATTCAAAATATTCTATTCGTTTGTAAAATTTGTCGAACGTGGACGTTTCATATTTTCGGTCATTTTCACAAACTATAATTTTAATCAGAACATAATAGGTATTTTACAATTCTTAAACACTTCGTATCTCCCAGACTGACTGACACAAAACAGAGAAAAACAGGTTATGTTGACACAATGACGCCAATATACAAACGACATTATATAAAAAAACCCGTTTTCATTGTAACCAACATCACTTACTTAATTTTAATCTTTAATTTTTTAACTAATAACTTAAATGAATTGGTGCAAGCTCTATCCAATTTAACTAATAATTAAAATTAACTAACAGTTACCAAATCCAAAAGTTAATTATTAACGGTGCAAAGCACTCTATGTCTTTATAACACTATTTAAAAGGATAAGGTTTTTAAAACATAAATTATTATTCTATAGAAAAAAATAAATATTTATTAAATTATTTATAAATATTATTACATACAAATACAAAAGTACTTAGATGTGGCAGAAAAGCAAAATATGCCCAATAGAGTATTTGAAACCTAATTATTAGCTAATTAAACCAAGGTTAAAATAGAGTTTAAACTAAACAATGCTGATATCGGCACAAGAACGGAAGGTTTCTTGAGGTCCACATCCCAGTCCGGAACTTCCATCACCACATTCTCCCCAGTTGTTACCTGAAATATGAAGTTATTTAATAATAAGTCGCAAAAATGCAACCACGTAAATACTTCGGAATTTACGCAACATATCTAAAATATCAACATAGTTAAGCAGAATAATAAATTGTTTTCAGAGAATTCAGAGGAAAATAAAACTGAAATATAAAAATATGAAAACTGTCTGAAGTATGTGTTTAAATAGATTAATTTTTCTGTATTATTTGAACACATTATATTTATAAACTATTTTCTGATACTATGGCTTTAAATTGTATGTATTTGAAATTTTGAATTTATTTTCTAGGAGATAATAAGGAAGATAACTCTTAAATTTTCTTGTTTCACAAGACTGTGATGGTAAAATGGTTCAAGGAATTTCCCCAATTTGTTACATGAACTTAGAAAATTAATACACATGTAAGTACCTGCTCTGTAATGCCATCGTAGGACACATCGTTCACAAGTCTCTTCTGGAAGCTTTATCTTGTTTTCAATGTAAAATTCATCTTTTGAGACGCTGTATTGACTGGAGCCATCAGCTAGCAACAGTGGTGTGAAGCAGTGTTCACCAGGTTCAGGTGCGTTAGGGTCTTCCAATTTGCACAGGCTAAAATTTAATTAAAAAAAATATTAATTACTTATTATACAAAATTTTTAAGAAAATATAGAATGCCTACACAAGATTACAGTGATATGAAGTTTGATAGAACTGTCTCTAATAATAATGGAGATATGACCTATCTCATTTGAAATCGTAAGTAAATTTGCAACAATTTCAGTCCATATGATTTTAGTGATTAGTGACTAGTGAGCCAAATTCGACACTTTTGGAAGTTTTCTCATTCCCCCAAAGAGAGTAGTTTAAATGCTACGGGATCGATTTTCGAGTAAAATTGAAACCGCATCTCTATATCTTTATTAGTTTCAGAGATATAGGATATTTTTCTATAACTAGTTTGTTTATGAATATATTTGATTATTTTTAAAGATATTTTTGCACAATTTTTTACGTAAAATTCAGCGGCCAACGCAACTTCCGGTTTGTCAGTTTTAACACATTTATACATGGAGGGTGATTCAAAATTCAGTACAAAGAATTTAGTAGCGTATTTTTGAGATCAAAATAAGAATTATTTTCCTATAAACGTGTGTCCACAAACGCTTAGTTATCGATACACAGGATGTCAAATTTTTTATTATTTTTTTATTTTTTAGAAATAATTTCCAAATAGATTTTAATGTACGCATAAAACTTTTGGTACGGGGGTCTTTTAGGATGATAAATTTAATTATGCCATTGCTTTTGACGCTGCTTGTAGAGGGCGTCAACTATAAGGGTACGCTTGAATTAAATTGGCCCTAACTTTTTTACTACCCTGCACGTTGACGTTTCGTATTAGTGCGTTTATTCCCCTATTTTAAGCAAAAACAGTATACTTGGTCGAAATCTTTTAGACCAACCGTTTAAGAGATATCGGCTAATGAAGAGTTAAATGCCATACCACCACCAAACACAATATTTTCATATTTTATAACTATTTACGGTAAAAATTTTAAAATTTGTTTTGGACTATAGAAAAAAAGTTTTATTTTGACGTCAAAAATATGCCCCTAAATTCTTTGTAGTGAATTTTGAATCAGCCTGTATATAGTTCTTTTTAATGGAATACGCAACATATTTTTGATGTACCTATCACATTATAATTAAATAAAAAAAAAATGTTTCTACTGAATTACAAAAAGTAATTTTGAATTTGAAATACATTTTTTTGTGCATCATGTGTGATAGATCGTTTGAAAGGAAATTTTAAGCAGATTTAAAAAATCGAATAATATACAGGGTGTCCCCTTTTAAACTTTGACAGTTGATGAAGGTCTAAATCGCTTCCTAGCCGAGATACACTGTGCAGAATTTATATATATATTTTAATTTTAGGTATGTTTTGTGACGACATAATGTTCTTTAAAAATGACAAACTATTTGTCTGTGGTAGACGGGTAGTAAGTGCCCCTTTTTTAAACAGAATTTCTACGCCTATGAGTTCTTTTGAAATTTTAGGGCGTTTAAGAAGGGAGCACTCTGTATATGGTGTACCATATAATAAAATATATTACGCCGCCAAATTTTACGTAAAAAGATGTTTAAAAAGAACCTCTCTACAAAAATCAAACATTTTCACAAATAAAAAAGTTGTAAAGTATCGTATAAAACGCAAATTGACAAATGCCATATATTATCTGTTAAATGAATCGAGATGTAGGTTTATTTGCCATTTGAAAACCGAACCCATGACATTTAAACTACATTTGTCTTTTAGAGAAATAGGAGAAACCCCTTAAAAGTGTAGAATTTCGTCCACCCTGTACAAATATTTGATAGATTTGATTTCAGTAGATGTCGATCAAATATTAGCAAAAACATATTTATTTAGGATGTCCTACTTAATTCTTTATATCTGAGATTGTTTTCAAGGGAAGATTTTAATACCTATCTTATTTTGATTACCAATCTAATAATTTGTGAAATATTGGGATCATTTGAATTAAAGTATTTATAAAGTAGCAATTAAGGATATATCTAATTCATAGCATTGCTTGGAATTGATAACGAACAATAATAATAATCTATAAACACTTCAACAGCGGAAACAATAAAAATAAAAATTTCTCGCAAAGCATTAGCAATATAACTGGTTCGTAACAAATTGCTATCAATGATTAATTTGTATTTAAGCAAAATAAATATTTACTCTATTGTTACTCAAATTGTCTGTATGTGTTCATTAGCAAGGAGTCATAATATTCAAACAATATTTAGTCAAACATCCACTCTAAACACACATGAGGTTTACGAAATTAATAATGCTTTTATGAAGATTCATTTTTGGATTTTATTTTTTTATGTTTCTGTTCTATGAAAAATACGATAACTCCCTCATACCAATTTATTTTTTAAGTTTTATTCTTCTTAATTCATTTTTTTATTTTGGGATGGATTTTTGTGTAGAATTACGTTTCATAATAAACAGTTATTATTTAATAAATATCCTTCCCTAATGTATAATTTCTTTAACTTTAAGGAATAAGCGAATAACTAAATAAATGAAATAACCAAAGTAAGTTAAATAATAGTAATTTAAAGCGATATCTATAAAATATTATTAGGAGAAAAAATCCTTTCATTAGGTATAATTTTCAAACCAACAAGTCGTATAAGTATATTTAAAGATTAGATTAAAAAATATAAAAACCTGAATTTCAAAAATCTTGACAATGAACATTTCCAGATTGTTTTGTGTACATTCTTACAATGGAACCCAAAAATTTAAAATATCAAATAGATACATATGTTTTTAATCTTTTCAAGTTATACAGAGTATTTGTAAATAAGTGCGAAATATTTTAAAGGATGGTTGCCGAAGTTATTTTATGAAAAAAAGTTAATATAAACGTAGGTCGAAATATACTTCGTTTTCGACATTATCTAGTATGGTTGCTGTCAATATTTCTAAATAAAATACAACCATCAAATTTCGAGTCAGTATCTTTAAAATTCTTTCAAATAATCAATAAAAATAAATAAAAATTTAAACACTCCGTATCTCGGAAACGAAGCATATTTCGACCTACGTTTATATGAACTTTTTTTACAAAATAACTTCGGCAACCGCCCCCTAAAATATTTCGCACTTATTTACAAATACCCTGTATGAAATTTGAAATGTATAGATGTTAACCAAAATTAAACAAACGGTGTGTAGGATCAATTACTGTTAAACTTTCAACTGAAAAAAGCTTAAATTAATTATAACACAGACACTTAAAAAANATTTTTAGTTAAAATTAATCCATACTTTAAGTATGGATAAAGTGGTAATAATGACATTATTGGCGTTTGCTGATGTGTTGTGTTTTATTGAAGTTAGCTTAGAATCTGTGTTTATCATTTATAAAAGGCTGAAAGTTAAAAGAAATACTATTCATAAAAGTGAACAATTTATATAATTTTAATAATTTGGAAATTAATGATAATGATGACTTAGAAGTATTGAATATAATACAATTGGGCATTCCTCGTCGATTATACCAAAGAGCCAGTTATTTCCATACAATGGATGACATCACATTTAGAAAACGTTTTAGGCTTTCAAAAGAAGCCATTCAAAATATTCTATTCGTTTGTAAAATTTGTCGAACGTGGACGTTTCATATTTTCGGTCATTTTCACAAACTATAATTTTAATCAGAACATAATAGGTATTTTACAATTCTTAAACACTTCGTATCTCCCAGACTGACTGACACAAAACAGAGAAAAACAGGTTATGTTGACACAATGACGCCAATATACAAACGACATTATATAAAAAAACCCGTTTTCATTGTAACCAACATCACTTACTTAATTTTAATCTTTAATTTTTTAACTAATAACTTAAATGAATTGGTGCAAGCTCTATCCAATTTAACTAATAATTAAAATTAACTAACAGTTACCAAATCCAAAAGTTAATTATTAACGGTGCAAAGCACTCTATGTCTTTATAACACTATTTAAAAGGATAAGGTTTTTAAAACATAAATTATTATTCTATAGAAAAAAATAAATATTTATTAAATTATTTATAAATATTATTACATACAAATACAAAAGTACTTAGATGTGGCAGAAAAGCAAAATATGCCCAATAGAGTATTTGAAACCTAATTATTAGCTAATTAAACCAAGGTTAAAATAGAGTTTAAACTAAACAATGCTGATATCGGCACAAGAACGGAAGGTTTCTTGAGGTCCACATCCCAGTCCGGAACTTCCATCACCACATTCTCCCCAGTTGTTACCTGAAATATGAAGTTATTTAATAATAAGTCGCAAAAATGCAACCACGTAAATACTTCGGAATTTACGCAACATATCTAAAATATCAACATAGTTAAGCAGAATAATAAATTGTTTTCAGAGAATTCAGAGGAAAATAAAACTGAAATATAAAAATATGAAAACTGTCTGAAGTATGTGTTTAAATAGATTAATTTTTCTGTATTATTTGAACACATTATATTTATAAACTATTTTCTGATACTATGGCTTTAAATTGTATGTATTTGAAATTTTGAATTTATTTTCTAGGAGATAATAAGGAAGATAACTCTTAAATTTTCTTGTTTCACAAGACTGTGATGGTAAAATGGTTCAAGGAATTTCCCCAATTTGTTACATGAACTTAGAAAATTAATACACATGTAAGTACCTGCTCTGTAATGCCATCGTAGGACACATCGTTCACAAGTCTCTTCTGGAAGCTTTATCTTGTTTTCAATGTAAAATTCATCTTTTGAGACGCCGTATTGACTGGAACCATCAGCTAGCAACAGTGGTGTGAAGCAGTGTTCACCAGGTTCAGGTGCGTTAGGGTCTTCCAATTTGCACAGGCTAAAATTTAATTAAAAAAAATATTAATTACTTATTATACAAAATTTTTAAGAAAATATAGAATGCCTACACAAGATTACAGTGATATGAAGTTTGATAGAACTGTCTCTAATAATAATGGAGATATGACCTATCTCATTTGAAATCGTAAGTAAATTTGCAACAATTTCAGTCCATATGATTTTAGTGATTAGTGACTAGTGAGCCAAATTCGACACTTTTGGAAGTTTTCTCATTCCCCCAAAGAGAGTAGTTTAAATGCTACGGGATCGATTTTCGAGTAAAATTGAAACCGCATCTCTATATCTTTATTAGTTTCAGAGATATAGGATATTTTTCTATAACTAGTTTGTTTATGAATATATTTGATTATTTTTAAAGATATTTTTGCACAATTTTTTACGTAAAATTCAGCGGCCAACGCAACTTCCGGTTTGTCAGTTTTAACACATTTATACATGGAGGGTGATTCAAAATTCAGTACAAAGAATTTAGTAGCGTATTTTTGAGATCAAAATAAGAATTATTTTCCTATAAACGTGTGTCCACAAACGCTTAGTTATCGATACACAGGATGTCAAATTTTTTATTATTTTTTTATTTTTTAGAAATAATTTCCAAATAGATTTTAATGTACGCATAAAACTTTTGGTACGGGGGTCTTTTAGGATGATAAATTTAATTATGCCATTGCTTTTGACGCTGCTTGTAGAGGGCGTCAACTATAAGGGTACGCTTGAATTAAATTGGCCCTAACTTTTTTACTACCCTGCACGTTGACGTTTCGTATTAGTGCGTTTATTCCCCTATTTTAAGCAAAAACAGTATACTTGGTCGAAATCTTTTAGACCAACCGTTTAAGAGATATCGGCTAATGAAGAGTTAAATGCCATACCACCACCAAACACAATATTTTCATATTTTATAACTATTTACGGTAAAAATTTTAAAATTTGTTTTGGACTATAGAAAAAAAGTTTTATTTTGACGTCAAAAATATGCCCCTAAATTCTTTGTAGTGAATTTTGAATCAGCCTGTATATAGTTCTTTTTAATGGAATACGCAACATATTTTTGATGTACCTATCACATTATAATTAAATAAAAAAAAAATGTTTCTACTGAATTACAAAAAGTAATTTTGAATTTGAAATACATTTTTTTGTGCATCATGTGTGATAGATCGTTTGAAAGGAAATTTTAAGCAGATTTAAAAAATCGAATAATATACAGGGTGTCCCCTTTTAAACTTTGACAGTTGATGAAGGTCTAAATCGCTTCCTAGCCGAGATACACTGTGCAGAATTTATATATATATTTTAATTTTAGGTATGTTTTGTGACGACATAATGTTCTTTAAAAATGACAAACTATTTGTCTGTGGTAGACGGGTAGTAAGTGCCCCTTTTTTAAACAGAATTTCTACGCCTATGAGTTCTTTTGAAATTTTAGGGCGTTTAAGAAGGGAGCACTCTGTATATGGTGTACCATATAATAAAATATATTACGCCGCCAAATTTTACGTAAAAAGATGTTTAAAAAGAACCTCTCTACAAAAATCAAACATTTTCACAAATAAAAAAGTTGTAAAGTATCGTATAAAACGCAAATTGACAAATGCCATATATTATCTGTTAAATGAATCGAGATGTAGGTTTATTTGCCATTTGAAAACCGAACCCATGACATTTAAACTACATTTGTCTTTTAGAGAAATAGGAGAAACCCCTTAAAAGTGTAGAATTTCGTCCACCCTGTACAAATATTTGATAGATTTGATTTCAGTAGATGTCGATCAAATATTAGCAAAAACATATTTATTTAGGATGTCCTACTTAATTCTTTATATCTGAGATTGTTTTCAAGGGAAGATTTTAATACCTATCTTATTTTGATTACCAATCTAATAATTTGTGAAATATTGGGATCATTTGAATTAAAGTATTTATAAAGTAGCAATTAAGGATATATCTAATTCATAGCATTGCTTGGAATTGATAACGAACAATAATAATAATCTATAAACACTTCAACAGCGGAAACAATAAAAATAAAAATTTCTCGCAAAGCATTAGCAATATAACTGGTTCGTAACAAATTGCTATCAATGATTAATTTGTATTTAAGCAAAATAAATATTTACTCTATTGTTACTCAAATTGTCTGTATGTGTTCATTAGCAAGGAGTCATAATATTCAAACAATATTTAGTCAAACATCCACTCTAAACACACATGAGGTTTACGAAATTAATAATGCTTTTATGAAGATTCATTTTTGGATTTTATTTTTTTATGTTTCTGTTCTATGAAAAATACGATAACTCCCTCATACCAATTTATTTTTTAAGTTTTATTCTTCTTAATTCATTTTTTTATTTTGGGATGGATTTTTGTGTAGAATTACGTTTCATAATAAACAGTTATTATTTAATAAATATCCTTCCCTAATGTATAATTTCTTTAACTTTAAGGAATAAGCGAATAACTAAATAAATGAAATAACCAAAGTAAGTTAAATAATAGTAATTTAAAGCGATATCTATAAAATATTATTAGGAGAAAAAATCCTTTCATTAGGTATAATTTTCAAACCAACAAGTCGTATAAGTATATTTAAAGATTAGATTAAAAAATATAAAAACCTGAATTTCAAAAATCTTGACAATGAACATTTCCAGATTGTTTTGTGTACATTCTTACAATGGAACCCAAAAATTTAAAATATCAAATAGATACATATGTTTTTAATCTTTTCAAGTTATACAGAGTATTTGTAAATAAGTGCGAAATATTTTAAAGGATGGTTGCCGAAGTTATTTTATGAAAAAAAGTTAATATAAACGTAGGTCGAAATATACTTCGTTTTCGACATTATCTAGTATGGTTGCTGTCAATATTTCTAAATAAAATACAACCATCAAATTTCGAGTCAGTATCTTTAAAATTCTTTCAAATAATCAATAAAAATAAATAAAAATTTAAACACTCCGTATCTCGGAAACGAAGCATATTTCGACCTACGTTTATATGAACTTTTTTTACAAAATAACTTCGGCAACCGCCCCCTAAAATATTTCGCACTTATTTACAAATACCCTGTATGAAATTTGAAATGTATAGATGTTAACCAAAATTAAACAAACGGTGTGTAGGATCAATTACTGTTAAACTTTCAACTGAAAAAAGCTTAAATTAATTATGACACAGACACTTAAAAAAAAGCACTTAAATGAAAAATGGCGTAAGGAGAATCTTAATATTTTCCACCAGAAAATCTGTTGCAAATAGCTTGACTTTCTTTTTTGTACTACCCTGTTTATTACTGACACAGACAATAACCTGTACATTAAAACTGGCCACCAAATTGACCGTAAGTATAAAAAATTAAGCTCTATATTAACATACCTGTATGTAAATGTACCCAAATGGTTAGCTGTGAGTTTGATTTTTATATCAATAACACTACCAGCTTCGTATGTCGCAGCTATTATTCCTCTTCCATATTTGCCAGTGTTTTCATTATTCTGAGGATGAGAGTCCGAGTAAGAATCCCCACAGATGCCACATTTTCCACCATTTACATAGTATTGGGTCTGAAACATCAAAGGCAATTTAGAATATTTTATTCTAGACCCAGTTACACTTTTTACCACTTTTCTTTCTTTATAATGTTTAATCGTTTTATTCTCATTATTCTTCACATTCTTATTTTATTTAAAAAATTGTATGGTATGAAAATTGAAATATGTAAAGTACATATTTAGTTTCAAAAAGGTAATATTATTAAAAACTTATTTAACTAAAATATACTCACATGGAATCCTCCGCAATTAAGGCCATTATCGTTATAGTTTATAGGAGCAATGCTATTGTACCTCCAGAGGGTACTTCTGTTTGGAGGGTACCAGAAAATACCATGACACAAAATTTCTTCGGCAAGAAATCCGAGTACAACTAGAAAAACGTACATACTCATAATTACTAATATTTGCTAGCAGGTATGTTTTATGTAGAGAAGTATAATGAATTAGTGTTATAGATTTTTGGTGGCAGAAACATTTATATATAAACAGTATAAGCGATAAGATATGGTTTAGTTATTGTTATTGTCGCATTTCTTCACACGAAAATCCCGTTTAGGAAAAACACAAGATAAGATTTGGACGCGGTCGCTATGATTTTTTTAAAATAAATTAGCTAAATAGTTAACTAAACTAATGTTTATTAAAATGGCACAATTTTTGTTAGCGATAAGAAAGCATGTATTACAAAATAAGTGTTAAAAAAGTATCTATTTTCAATGAGCTTATTATTCTTATTATTTAAATATATTTTTTTTTAAATTGTCTATCCATAAATAAAACAGATTTAATATTTACTGACATCAGATTAAAGTTAAAAAATAGCTTCATCACAACATAAAATTTTCATAAAATTATAAAAAATATAATAAACATTTAAACATTCAAAATATTATCATGAACATTTTTAGACAAAGGGTTACTTGCTGGTAAAATTTAACTTTAATCTTATGTCAGTAAGTATCGAATTTATTTTAATATACAGATTGATTCAGTCATAATGTCATTAACTTTAAGGGGAGGTAGGAAAATTGAATAGAATACGAATAAGCGATAAAAAAATATTTAAAAAGCATATTTGCAGAAGAAAATTTTAAAATCATTAATTTCGGCCACTCCTGACCGCTGACATACAACGGTTTATCGAGAGTGAATCTTGACCTACCGTGTTCGGTCTTTAACCTAGCTTTTACTTCGTTTTTAATATTGAACTATAAAAACAGTCTTTTTACCAAGATACATGAATAACAAGTATTACCTATTTAATTGTTAATAAAATCAAATGTATAAGTATAATACTTGTTTTCGAATGTTAAGTTATTTCAATTTAGAATTTATAATATTATACTTTTTACTATATTTTATAATTGAATATGAGGTTTTAGCATTATGTTTGTAGTACCTACGTATACCTTATTGTATGACTTACTGCTTTTCAAAGAGTATTTAAAATGACAGTACGGCTAAAAAAAATATTTTTTTTTAATTTGAAACCAATTGCAAAGAAACCCGCACAAAACATATGGAAATTGAACACCAGTCAATTTTTATGAAACTTCGTATTTTGATAGTCCTCATCATGCTGATCAAAAGTCTCAATGGGCACGAAGACCTCCAACCCCTTCCAACCCCCCAAAACCACCCCCAAAGATCAGGGTAATGAACTTGACAGATTACAGGTCATTTGGCTTACCGTAATATTTCACTCTTGTAGTCGAACCTACAGACACCTATAGCATAACTAGGCTTAAGACTATCAATGGGCACGAAGCTCTGCAACCCCCACCAAGCCCCCAAAGGTCAGGGGGGTGCACTTGACAGATTATCGGTCAATAAATCTACCGAAATATTTTACTACTGCAGTCAAACCTACTACCAGGGTTTCACATTCCACAAACAGCAAAAAATCTTATGGCAGGTTTTGGTACTTGTACTGTGGGTTAAAGGGTATTAAACAATAAGATGCTTATAGGATGGAATTCACGATTGAACGGTTTCATAAGCCGTACGAAGGGATAAGTCATGACAGGCTTCGATAAGAACTGGGGTTGGTCCTACTCCAACCGTGGGATTTGGGTTGGGGGTGGGTGGTTCAAATGTCGGGGTCCCATCGGAGAGTATAGAGTAGTGATCATTTAGGTGGCTGTGAGATGGAATTCACGATTAAACAGTTTCACAACCAGTAAGCAGGAAAAAGTCATATGACATATTTTGGTAGTTGGTGGGGAGGGAGAGGGATGGGGGGGTTAAGTGTTTTGGAGATAGTAGTCTTAAACCTAGTTACAGTTTGGGTGAATGTGTGTTCGACTGCAATAGTAAAATATTTCGGTAGTTTTATTGATCGATAAGCCAATTGACCTGTAATCTGTCAAGTTTATTACCCGGATCTTTGGGGGTGGTTTTGGGGGGTTGGAAGGGGTTGTAGGGCTTCGCGCCCATTGAGACTTTTGATCAGCATAACGAGGACTATCAAAATACCTATCAAAATACTAAGTTTCATAAAAATTGACCGGTGTTCAATTTCCATAATGTTTTGTGCGGGGTTCTTTCAAGACGATTGTTTCACTTCAACGTTCGAACGCCCTGTGATGCGCCGGTGTGCCCCAAGTCAGCAAATGTGATGCAAAGTAGGGCACCGAATTAACAGGAGTTAAGGGGAAATTTACTTATTTTTTAAAAAGTCTTTATCGGGCTTTCCGGATACATGGCTAAAATTAATGGCATTATGACTGATTCACCCTGTAGGACTTGATTTTTAGAAAATTGTTTGTAATTTATTTCTTTCAAAAAGGATACAAATATTTCTGAAAGCGTAACGAGATAACGAAGAGTGCTCTTATCTGTTTGTTTTTGACCATATAACCTTCTGTGTTTCGACTGCAATTTCAATAATTTACAACATTTAGTCGTAACTACCTTTTTGCTTATATACAGGGTGGGCCATTAGTGTGAGAAAGTACACTAACTCAAATGGAACACCCTATATTTTATTGTTTTATTTTATTCGCATATCACTCCACTTCAACTTTTATTATGCATGTTCTATACCTAAAATTGTTAGTTTTTAAGATATGGCAACATTTCTGAAAATACTTAATTTTTATTATTTTCGGTCGCACGAGATGGCTTTGGAAAAAACTGTCACATTGTGTCAACTTGTCAGTTCATAATTTACCATTCCTTTTTGCGTTCATTTTATTAGTTTATTAGTATCTATTAGTTATTTATTAGTTGGTATTCATAAAATAATTTTATATTACAATGAATTTTTCTAAAGAAGAAATGGTGGATATGATTTATGTATTGGGAGCTGCTGATAGAAATTGTTTACTCGCAACAAGAATTTATAATCAGAGATATCCAGATAGAAGACAACCACGTGCAAATACCTTTGAAAAATTAATGGTACGTTTTGATACTACTGGCAATGTTTCTTATGAAAAACATGATAGAAAAAATACTATTGTGGATGATGAGAATGAACTAAATGTTCTGTTAAGTGTTACTGAAGATCCGCATATAGGCACTAGAGCAATTTCAAGGCAAACAGATAAGAGTGACATCGGTAAGGCGGATATTAAAGAAACACAGGATGCATCCATATCATATCCAGTTTCACCAAGAATTGAATAACCACGACTATGAAAGTCGCTTGGAATTTTGTAATTGGGCCCAGAGAAAAATGAATGAAGATAGGCTTTTTTTTAATTGTGTGCTTTTTACTGATGAAGCAACGTTTCACAAAAATGGAAGCGTGAACAGACACAATTTTCATTATTATGCTTCTGAAAATCCGTTGCTTATAAGGACACATAGTCAAATCCGGTGGTCACTCAATGTTTGGGGCGGGATTATTGGACATTACGTTATTGGGCCTTATTTTTTCGACGAACATTTAACAGGGCAACTATATCTTCATTTTCTACAAAATACTATGGAAAATTTATTAGAAAATATACCGCTAAATATTCGTCAGAGGATGTGGTATTTACATGATGGAGCCCCTGTACACCACACGCAGGAAGTTCGTAGATTCTTAAACAATGAATTTCCAGAGAAGTGGGTTGGAAGAGGTGGACCAATTAGTTGGCCTGCTAGGTCGCCTGATCTGACAAAAATGGACTATTTTCTGTGGGGATATGTAAAAGATCGGGTATATCAAACTCCCCCTACTACTAAAGAGGATATGAAAAACCGAATTCGACGAGTTTTTCAAAATATCAACATTGATATTCTGAATAATGTTAACACCACATTTGAACGACGTGTAGAGCTATGTCTAAACCAAGACGGCCGTCATTTTGAACACTTGTTGTAAAATTAAATATTTGATTTATTTTCGTATCTATTTTGTTATTTTATTTCCATTTAATAAATAAACTATGTTGTTATGTTCTATTAAGATTTTTTTATACACAAATATGTAGTATAATTAAATTATTTTATAGTATAGACAAGTTGACACAATGTGACAGTTTTTTCCAAAGCCATCTCGTGCGACCGAAAATAATAAAAATTAAGTATTTTCAGAAATGTTGCCATATCTTAAAAACTAACAATTTTAGGTATAGAACATGCTTAATAAAAGTTGAAGTGGAGTGATATGCGAATAAAATAAAACAATAAAATATAGGGTGTTCCATTTGAAAAATTTTAGAAAATCAAGTTTGAACTTTCTAAAAATTATCGTCTTATAAAAAAATGCCCTGTATAAAATATCGATATTAGCTAATATAGGAGCCTTTGTATAACATTTGCCTATAACTCTGTCAAATATTTTTGCTCCAAGTGTTAGTAGTTGAAAGTTAATACAACTTCTTCGAGGTCATGTTTTTTCCAAAATTCTAAGAATTTTCTACATAACTTGGCAACCCCGCACTAAAATGATAAACTGTTTATATTGCCATATATAGAATTTTCTCAGAAATCCAACTGTTTAAAAATATACAGGGTGTTCCATTTAAAAAATGTAATGTTTGGCGTGTCCCGTTTTTACTCATCGCCCTGTATGTTTGAAATTAATTTTGTAGTTTAGGTTTCTTGATTCTGTACAACTTTTATATAAACTTTTTTTCTGTATTATAAGTAACAAGGGAGTTAGTGTACTTTCTCACACTAATGGCCCACCCTGTATAAATTTAAAAGAAATTTTTACACATTTTCAAAAAATAGAAAGTAAGATCTATTGATGTCTCAGTCCAATATAATTAATTATTCATATCAGATAAAAAATCTATAAATTACTGTAATAATACTATTATTATTTACGTGAAAAGTTTTATTTCAATTTTCTTTCAATTTCAAGATATAAAAAATAATTTTGTTCAGTAAACTGTATATTGTATAAGTCAAAGCAAACAATCGTACGTTTATTTATTTATATGTGAGCTAATATAATCCCAAGTGAAAACAAATTATCCGTTTCTATAAAAAGCGA